GGCTATTTTTTGTATTTCTTAGTAGAGACGGGGTTTCACCGTGTTAGCCAGGATGGTCTCGATCTCCTGACCTCGTGATCCGCCCATCTCGGCCTCCCAGAGTGCTGGGATTACAGGCTTGAGCCACTGCGCCCGGCCAGTGAGACCCCATTTCTACAAAAAATTTAGAAAATTAGAATGTGCCTGTGGTCCCAACTACTCGAGAGGCTGAGTTAGGGGGATTGCTGGAGCCCTGGAAGCCAAGGCTGCAGTGACCTATGATCACACCACTGCACTCCAGCCTGGACAGAGCGAGGCCATCTTAAAAAAAAAAAAAAGTAGGCCGGACACTGTGGCTCACGCCTGTAATCCCAGCACTTTGGGAGGCCAAGGCAGGTAGATCACAAGGTCAGGAGTTCGAGGCCAGCTTGGCAAATATGGTGAAACCCCGTCACTACTAAAAATACAAAAATTAGCCGGGCATGGTGGCACACGCCTGTAATCCCAGCTACTTGGGAGGCTGAGGCAGGGGAATTGCTTGAACCTGGGAGGCAGAGGTTGCAGTGAGCCACAATTATGCCACTGTACTCCAGCCTAGGCAACAGAGCAAGACGCCGTCTAGGGGAACAAAAATTAAGGAAAATAAAATTAAAAAACAATTAGATTATATTGGACAAGTTACAGATGGAGGTGATTATATACTCACGTGACCTTTTAATAAGTAACCACTTAAGCTGGGTGCAGTGGCTCATGCCTGTAATCCCAGCACTTTGGAAGGCTGATGCGGGCAGATCACCTCAGGTCGGGAGTTTGAGACCAGCCTGACCAACACAGAGAAACCCCATCTACTAAAAATATAAAATTAGCCAGGCGTGGTGGTGCATGCCTGTAATCCCAGCTACTCAGGAGTCTGAGGCAAGAGAATCGCTTGAATCCGGGAGGCGGAGGTTGCAGTGAGCCGAGATCGTGCCATTGCACTCCAGCCTGGGTAACAAGAGCAAAACTCCATCCCAAGAAAAATAATAATAAAATAAATACATAACCACTTAAAAATGTAAATGTAGTTCTTAACTCAAGGACTATTAAAGTTGATGATTGATCCCTGGTGTGGACCCTCCCAGCTGAGGGGAGTCTGGGAGTGTAGACCTGCTCTCTTAGGGTGGACGTAGCTATGAGATTTGGCTCCTGCCTGTAATGGGGCATTTCCCCAGCGCTTCTTCCTTCTTCCTTGGAAATCTGGAGTCCGAGTGAAGACAAGTTTGGGGATTACGTTTGAGAGAAGTACCAGCAGAGAGAACAGATTCTTCTATCTGGAACTTAAACTGGTATTTGTGGTGTGCTTGGATGACCTGTGTCTTTTTTCCCTTTTGCTTTCTTTCCTATAGCTGCTTAGGAGCTTGGAGCCAGGGTCCCTGTGCTTCAGGCAGGCACTTGTCACAGCCTCGGACAAGTCCATGAGCTAGGTCAAGGCAGGGGGTGGGGGCCACAGTCAAGGCCAAGTCGGGGCATGGAACAGCAGGGGTCAGATGTTAAGGGAAGTACGTCTGCACCCAGGTGGGGATCTTGAAAACTATGCCAGGCACCCACAACAAGAGCTTTGGGTGCTTTGTGTCTAAGGCTGGGTACCCTTGGTTCTGCTGCTGATGCCATGTTTCCAGTCTGGATTTTAGCAAAATTAACTAACCCATCCTTCTACCTGATGCCTGTTTTCTTCTCTCTCATTAGGGGGTTCTGGGTCCAGCTTTCAGCCCACTTATCTGCCTTCCTTAATCTTTTCCCCCTTCTAACCTCTTTTGTTGGCCTGTGCTCTCAGAGCTCCCAGAGTCTGTCTACATGACTTCCTGTATGTTGTTGGCCTAGGAATTTTTTCTTATGTTTCTCTAACTAGCTCCTTAGAACCTGGGACTTGTTTCTATGGTCTATACTTCTTTTTTCTGTCTATTTATCCGTCTGTCTTCTGATTGAAAAAAAAA